CCCCAAAACCCCAAAACCCCACAATGCATATTTTGTAGACAAAAATCTAGGTCAATGTTTAATAAATTAATGATTTTTGTGATAAAGGTTTTTGTCTTCATTTCTTGTTGAATACAGCATGAGTTCTTCTGGTTGCATTGGGTGCAAATGTTCTGTAGTCCGTGGTTCCTTGTGGTTGGTTTGATAAGAGAGCTTCGCATTTTTGTTCGATTTCCTTATTCCACTTTCTATACAACTCTAAAGCCTTCAAATTCTCGTCAACATAGGAGACCTTGGAGAATCCTAGGATCAATGTGCTCACATCTTTGTTAGCAAGAGCCCAAGCAAGAGCTAGTTAAGATTAAGTATATCCTAGTTCCTGAGAAAGTTCTGCTAATCCTTGTAAAATCTAGATGCTCTTTTCCTTCTTTGCTGGGGAGAAGAATTATCCTAGAATGAAATCCTTAAAGGTTGGATCTTGAGTGAATCTTCCTTCAGCTACATTTCCATCATTGTATCTTCCAGTAAGCACACCTTAACCTAATGGAGACCAAACGGTAGATCCATATCTATATTTTTCGAAGATAGTTGTTCCGTACTCTTTTTCAAATCTATCTCTGATAAGCATACTGTATTAAGGCTACTCAGTAACAGGTTCATGGAGGCCATGAGCTCTTGCAAAAAGGATGGCTTCAGCGATTTGATCTGAGTTCCATTCTGAGGTTCCCCAATAAAATGCAAGGCCTTGATCGACTACCCATGAGAAAGCTCTTACCACTTCCTCAAGTGGTGTATGTTAATCATATCTATGAGCATAAATCACATCAACATAACTAAGTTGAAGTCTCTTTAGTGAGTTTCTTGTGCCCTCAATGATGTGCTTCCTGCTTAATCCAAGTCCATTAACTGGAGGGTTAGCACTACTAAAAATTCCTTCAGTTCCGAAAAATAGCTTTGTTGATACAACAATGTCTTCTCTTCTAACTTTGAGGTCTATGAATGATTGTCCGAGTTAAGTCTCAGCTAAACCACCAGCGTAAGCTTCAGCAGTATCAAAGAAGTTAACTCCATATTCTAAGCATCTGGCAACAATTTCATTGAGAGAAGCTTGTGCATTTTCAGCAAGGTGATTTACCATATTTCCGAATGAGATTGCTGATACTTTAATACCAGTATTACCTAGGTATCTGTACTCCATAAGGCTCTTCTTGTCTGCTTCAACCATCGTTCTAAAAGATATTTTTTAATTACTTTATCTTAAATGATGTTATATAGTAACTTTTTTGCTAATTTAAATGACGTGGAATTAGGAAGATATTAAGACGACTAAACTCTTGTTAAATTAATTAAAGACTCATTTCACCTAGCATAAATGTATTTTGCCATTAAGGGGTTTTGGGGTTTTGGGGTTTTGGGGTTTTGGGGTTTTGGGG